TATATATATATATATATATATATATATATATATATATATATATATATATATATATATATATATATATATATATATATATATATATATATATATATATATATATATATATATATATATATATATATATATATATATATATATATATATATATATATATATATATATATATATATATATATATATATATATATATATATATATATATATATATATATATATATATATATATATATATATATATATATATATATGCTCGCATGCACGCACGCACGCTTGCACGCACGCATGCACGCTCGCACGCACGCACACACTGACTGTTAATATATACTGATGAACGCTGTCAAATGAAAGCCTGTGAGTGTCTACGTCTCTTCCAGAGGTTTAGACGCTGCCGATGCCAAAACAAATCCTTTTCCAGGAGGGATTCCTGCCATAAGAGCTTTAGTCCAATCTCTGGTGTCCCGAAATGTCAGGAGGATATCAAACACTGAAACACAACACAGAGTGCAGCATACAGAGAGTTACTGATATTCATTCAGGATATAAGGATAGCAGCAATATAGCTCAACTTCATCTTGTAAACATTAGTTCAAGTTCTATTTATTTATATAGCACGTTTCCAAGTGCCACAGGGCTGCACAAAGTGCTTTACAGAGAGAAAATAAACACATGATATGAGCATAAAACAGTAAAAACAGCAATAAGCACATAATAGAAAGGAACATAGAAAAATTATCAATAAAAGAGCAAAAAAAAAATAGTAATAATAATAATAATTTTTTTTTTCCTAATTAAAAGATGCTACCACAGTTGACCAACACTACGTTTTGAATTTGATTTAGACCATTTAACGGTCCTTTTCTCAATATTTCTAGTTTTTTAACCCTCAGATTACAGATATTCTAATAGTTTCATCTCATACAGGTCTTGTTATTATACACTGATGTATGTGAAGCTCAGAGAAAGTGATTGTTACCTTGGTTGATGGCCAGGATTTTGGAGTGGAAGTTTTTGGGGTTTTTTTTCTTCACCATGTACTCATCAATAGGCAGTCGTGCTGTGCGAACACCGAGCTCTTTGGCCTTCGTGTAGCTTATTTTCTTCAACACAGCAGTGGGATCTTTAGCTTAGCTGTTTCCAAAATCTCTCTTCGAGTTATTGATAATAAATAATATAGAAACACAAGCATAAGTCTCACCTTCTGTATGGTTTCATCCACTAAACCTCCAAGGATGTAGATTTTATCTTCCTCCACGCTTTCTAGAGCTAACAGAACATTAAAAATAAAGCGATTGAATGCAGCGATCACACTGTTTATCTTAATTTAATGACTTAATATCACCCTATCAATATTTTACTCCAGTAATCTCATTTATCTGAGAGTGAACCTGAACATTCAATGAGCAACAGCAGCTGTTAACTAATATTAAAACTATTAAAATTAGTTACAATGAAATATGCATAGTTACAATCAGAATTATTAACCCACTTTGAAATTTCTTTTCTTTTTTAAATATTTCCCAAATGATGTTTTAACAAAACAATGAACTTTTCACAGTATGTCTGATATAATTTTTTCTTCTGGAAAAAGTCTTATTTGTTTTATTTCGGCTAGAATAAAAGCAGTTTTAAATTTTTTAATCACCATTTTAAAGACAAAATTATTAGCCCTTTTAAGCTATATAAATATATTGTGGCAGAATCTGCCAGTGTGGTTAGCAGCGTTGCCATGGAAACGACTCCCTCACCGAGATCACACCTCATCACGGGCTGATCAGGGGCAGCTGCTGCTCGTTGGGAGGAGAGTATTTAACAGACGCCGTCTAAGCACGATGACAGGAGGCTACACGCTGAGTTCTCTCCTTCCACTGTCACCCTGATCGGCACTTCACCCTGCACAATCCTTGGACCCTTGGACACAGAATTCACCGCCCTGCACATCCCAGCACACTTATCCATTGCTCCACTCCCTCATTAAACACCCTACGGGGATGTATATTGCCTCTCTGTGTCCGTGTGATCTCTACCTCGTGACAATATATATATATATATATATATATATATATATATATGTATGTATATATGTATGTATGATAGTCTACAGAACAAACCATCCTTATACAAGGACTTGCCTAATTACCCTAACCTGTCTAGTTAACCTAATTAAGCCTTTAAATGTCACTTTAAGCTGTATAGAAGTGTCTTGAAAAATATCTAGTCAAATATTATTTACTGTCATCATGGCAAAGATCAAATAAATCAGTTATTAGAGATGAGTTATTAAAACTATTATGTTTAGAAATGTGTTGAAAAAAAATCTCCATTAAACAGGAATTAGGGGAAAAAATAAACGGGGGGAAATAATTTTGATTGCAACTGTACCTAAATAGTTATATTTTGGTTTATTTTATATTTATTTAAAGTAAAAAATTAAAAGACATTTAACCTTTTTGTCTATATGGATTTATTAGGTGTGGGTTTGAGTAAAATGTTAGCAAGAAAATAATTGCGATTTTTCTATAAAATGCTAATTACATTTGTTTTACAAGTAAATTTCAAATGATTATTATTATTAAATCAGAAAATGGCAGCTGGTCAGAATAACAAATGTTTTCATTTGTTTGATTAAAAATCAGGGTCTAATAACAATTTATGACAACATCTGAAACATGGCACTTTTTATTTTGTGCAGTTTTGAGCAACATTTATCTAACATTAATCTAACAGGTAATCTAAACTCCCCAAATTTTAATTTTAAATTAAAGAAATGTTATTTGCTTGTTATTGATTTATCAAGATGTCTGAAAACATGACCCTTTTTGATATTTTATGCATTACGATATTCATTAATAATTTTTTATTGTCAACTGTGAATAAATGCCATCAGTAGCTTACAGAATAAAAGAAAACATTATGTTTACTCATTTAAGTGAAGTTTATTTATAAACTAATTCTGATAGGATCACGTGGTTATGATTGCTTGTGACTGGTCTCGCATTATCCAATTTATGATTCACCAATCAGACGATTCCTAAGCCACTAAGCTCCATATAACAGCCATCTTCATTTTGAAGAATCCCCCCTTCCACCCTATACTCCTCCTTTCCTACATGAGTGGCACGGTGGCCCAGTAGTTAGCACTGTTGTCTCACAGCAAGAACATCACTGGTTCTAGTTCTTACCAAGTCAGCCGACGTTTCTGTGTGGAGTTTACATATTCTCCCCGTGCTCATGTGAGTTTTCCCCGCTTCCCCGGTTTCCTCCCACCGTCCAAAAACATGCAACTTAAGTCAATTGACTAATCCATATCGGCACCATAGATATGCTCCCAGTAAGTTGTTACATTATCCCTTAAGAGCAATCAATATCTGTTTATTAGCTACTACAGCAGAGGAGTTCTCGAGATCTACCTGAGCTCAAACTCCCCTCTCACCTTGCAAACGGGAGGGAGCCCAGGCTCGAGGATCTTATGAGCTCAGGGCTCTCTCCCGGGACAGCATGCCAAACAAGCTTTATAATCAATCATCAGCTAAGTGTCAACTAACGAAACAGGTGACTGTGCATACTAGATGAAAACAAGCAATAAAAAAAACTAATTTTAAGTTATTTTATATTATTAAACAATTTTAAATGTTCAAATCAGCGTGCACCTTTAAAATCATACCAGAAAAAATTATTCACCCCCACTTTTTGAACACAGGCATGAAAATAACATGTTCAACCTAAATAAATGCCAGTCTTCAATGCTTTGGTGCACATATTTCGGCTTGGTTTCATGTTAAAGACCTCATTTTGATCTCATTAACTTGTTAGATTGTAGCCTTAGTGAAAAGGTTTTGAAATAAGATCAAATAAGATCTTATAAAAAATAAGATCAAGTTTTTTTATTATTATTATTATTATTATTATTGTGTTTATTAATTATGAAGCAATAAAATGTATAGTTTATTATATTACATAAAACATGTATTTTCCCAGTACTGGGTTGCGGCTGGAAGTGCAAAATAAATCATATGTCATAATAGTTGGCGGGTTACTGCGCAGTGGTGACCCCTGATAATAAGGGACTAAGCCTAAGGAAAATGAATGAATGATAATCATTTATTTTAGAAAACCTCTTATCGCCTAAAATGTAAAGAAAAAACAATATCCATTTGGCTGCAGTACCAAACATGACCACCAAATGACCCCCGGTTTTTATTGGTGACCATACAACGGCGCCCCCTATGTTTAAAAGAATATGAACCATATCTTTTCATACTTTTAACAATATTTAAAAGTAATTATATATAATTACAATATATGTAATTATAAAGTAGTATGGGACATTTGGTGGTATTTGGTTTTCATTTAGCCTGTAAAAAATATCTAAATCGTAAATTGCTGTAGCAAAGTAATGCTTTACGAATGTAAAATCAGATTTGGAAGCTAGACATTTTAAGGTTTCAATTGATACACAGTTTGTCATGATTGCTTTATGTTTAGACTTCAATATTATGTTTTAAAAATGTATCCATAAATGGTCCCACAGGTTGTAAGGTGAGAGTAAATGTGCATTACTCTTTTAACTTAAAAAAAAAAAAAAAGGTAAAATATGTATTCAGAAGTCTTAGACCTTTTTAAATGATATAGTTAGTTTGTCATGATTAGATGTAAACTTAAGCATCCTGGTGGCGGGATGGTGACAGAAATAAGGAGTGTGCCTTAAAAAGTAGCTTGATTTCATGCCGGTTTTAAATACATTTTGAATGCAATATAAAATATGCGTGATACGAACCTTCGCTTGCGTCCGGAGTTAAATATATCACATCTTCAGAGGGAAATAGATGAAACCAGCTCTCCTCCGTCACATCAATCTGCAGGACCAGGAAGCAACAATTTACTTTTAGAGCAGAATTCAATACTGTAGACCACAATCTTCTTCCAGACCTGGATTAAAGCATTATAGACCAACTCCTAGACAGTCTGTGGTGCAACATGGTAATGTAATGTAATGTGTACCCAAAGCGCTTCACAATCATGAGGGGGGGGTCTCTCCACACCACCACCAGTGTGCAGCATCCACTTGGATGATGCGACGGCTGCCACAGGACAACGGCGCCAGTGCGCTCACCACACACCAGCTATTGGTGGAGTGGAGGGACAGTGATAGAGCCAATTCGGTGAAGAGGGGATGATTGGGAGGCCATGATCGTAAGGGCCGATAGAGGGACTTTGGCCAGGACACCGGGGTTACACCCCTGCTACTTTCACGAGAAGTGCCTTGGGATTTTTAATGACCACAGAGAGTC